GCCTCCGGCCTTCCCCTTAACCTCCGGAGCCTCGGGGGCTTTTGTAGCAATTAGAGAGCTGGGAACACCAGTTCTTAGCTTAGTGCTCGCATACTGGCGCTCCCAGCCCAGGGTCGGAGTCTGAGCCCTTTGGACCCAGTGGCATGTCATGGCCAGTCCAGCCCCCTCCCCCACTCCCCCCCAGCCAGGCCTGCCCACTGAGAAGGACTCTGGCACTGGTCTCCTTGCTCACACCCGCAGCCTGGACTCCTGGAGCCCACGTCCACCCTGGTCCGCGTGAAGAAAAGTGCGGCCACCCTGGGCATTGCCATCGAGGGTGGCGCCAACACCCGTCAGCCCCTGCCTCGGATCGTCACGATTCAGGTACCTCCGTGGGCTCCACTCGACCATCTCTCCCTCCCCCTGAGGGCCCCTCTCTCAGCATCCCCAGGGTTCTGCCACAGCCCCCCCCCCCCCCCACTCCCCGGGGATGACCCGGCCGCCAAAGGCAGACCCAGGCCCTTTGCCCTCCCTGAGCCTGTTTTCCTCATCAGGGCAGTGGACACCCAGATTGTAGCCTGCTTGGCGGTGTTGGGCCTGACCCGGTGGGTGTTTAAGGCAGGCCAGCCTCGCCCTCAGCTGCCTCGAGTACCCCTGCCCTGTGTCTCGCCCCCGCAGCGAGGTGGTTCAGCCCACAACTGTGGGCAGCTCAAGGTGGGCCACGTGATCCTGGAAGTGAACGGGCTGACACTTCGGGGCAAGGAGCATCGGGAGGCGGCGCGCATCATTGCAGAGGCCTTCAAGACCAAGGAGCGAGACTACGTCGACTTTCTGGTCACCGAGTTCAATGTGATGCTCTAGAGGCTGAGGCCCAGAGGCCTCCCACTGCTGCCCAGTCCCCGGCCCCGGTCCCTCCTCCCTCCTGGCACTATTAAGCTCCTTGAGGGCCGGGGCTGCATAGCCAGGGAGCAAGAAGACATCCCCCGACTCTTTCCCGGCCCACTGGCCCAGAACCAGGAGAAGAAAGCCGGGGGAGGCAAACAGAAGGTCAGGTTGGGATCCGGTGCCATGCCTGGGGTACACAGTAGGCGCTCAGTATAAGCAGTGGGTGTCAGGAAGGAGAGAAAGTCCACCTGAGGCCTGCCAGGGCCTGTTCCCCTGGGTAGGGGAGGGACACTGGTCCCCGTTCCCCCGCCAGCTAGGACCTGGCCCATCCTCCAGATGTCTGAGCCTTTATGTGGAGTGAGGCCACATGAGAATTCGTGGACACGGCCCCCAGCCCAGGGGGCATCTCGAAGGACCTATAGTGCCACAAATAAGCATCAAGCACCCCCCCCCCATTCATACCCCCATTCTTCCTGGCTCCTTATCCCCCCATAGTATTTATTATTTATTTCCCTCTCCTCACCCCTGGGGACCCCAAGACCCCAGCTTCCCACCCCGCCCCTAGCCTAACCCAGAGGCCTTGCAGGGGACCAGTGATGTCAGTGTATTTATATACAGAGCTATGTCTTTAATTTTTCAATAAAGAAACCTGAACAGGGTTAGGGTCCAGCGTGCTGTGTGGCCTGCCTTTGTGGCTGGGGTTTTGACTGCTCCACCTGAGGAAGGGGGGGTAGAACAGAGCAACACAAGCCACCGGCCTCTCCCCCTGCCCCCCACGGCTCCATGTGGGACACACAGCAGGTATGCGGTGGGGGGGGCCCTGAGCCACACCCACGTCTTGGAGCACCTTACTTGAAGGTTGTTCACAGAAAATACTTTTAAATTAAAACACACAGGTGTGTTGTGGGACCAAATGCACAATGTGCACGGAGGTTTTCAGACCGAGGGAGGTGGCCTGCCTTCGCGGGGGGGATCCCAGAATCAGACTCTGTGATGAGGATCCGTATGCAGGTGATTCATGAAGGCAACACTCCCACCGTGGACCAGTGAGGGAGTGGGGAAATCTGGAGGGGGAAAGGGAGGAAGCCAAGCGGGGGGCGGTTTTCAGGCAAAGTCCCTGGAGGGTGGCTGCAGCCTGATCCCCCAGGGGGCTCTGGAGTCTAACTGAGCCCAGAGCCGTCCCCACTCAGGGCAAGGGGACAGGGCTTTTGTGCTGTCAGTCTTTGGGTAAGGCCCGGGAAGGGGAAGGGGGAGAGAGGCAGTAAATGCCCAATCACATTCCCATTCTTCGCCTGTGCAGGCCAAGCTCTTCCAGGAGCCAAGGGCGGGGGCTGTTAGAGGCAAAAACACATGGGGGGGGGGTGCAGGGAAGGGAGGGGGGCAAAAAATGGTCTTCTACACAGCCCCAGGGCCCATTTCCTTCAACCCCAGGGTTTCTCTGGGACAAGAAGGCTCTCAGAAGTCCTGCTTTGTCCAGCCCTGTGTTCAGAGGTCAGCCGGAGGTGGGTTAGGGCAGCTGATTCCACAGACCTGCACCAGATCTTGCTTTTAGCTGCCCCTGCCCTCTCCCCAGCCCAAGGAGACGACCTGAGGCCAGGGCCTGGGATTCCACTTGACCTCTGAAGCGGCCAGTATCTCTGAAACCCCAGTCTCTCCTGCAGGAACTCTGTATGCCCCTCCCCAGTCCTAACACCCCTGCAGGGAATAACTCCCACCTGGCTGTCAGGCCCCAGATCTCCTGGCATCAGATGTCAAATCCTTCGTGGTCGGGGGGCCAGTGATCTCACTTTTCAAGGCCCAAATTCCCCATCGGGGAAAATGGGCATGGTAAGCTGAATAATGACCTCAAAGGTATCCAGGTTCCTTCAATGTGTGGATGTTCCCTTTTGTGGCGAAGGGACTTGGCCTATGGGATTAAGGCATTTAGTTGGGGAGGTTGAGCTGGATTTTGTGGGCGGGCCCCCTGTAATCCCAAGGGTCTTTATAAGAGGGAGACAGAGGGAGACTTGATGGGAGGAGGGAACGGTGTTGGTGTTGCCGGTAAGGAAGTGGAGGTTGGGATGTGCTCTGAAGATGGAGGGAGGGACCTACCAGACCGGGAATACAGGCGGCTACTAGATGCTGAAAAAGTCAGGGAAAGAGATTCTCCCCTCAGAGCCTGCAGAAGGAACCTGCCCTCCTGACATCATGAGGACAAACTGACTTTGGACTTCGACCTCTCTTTGTAAGAGAACAAATGAGTGCTGTTTGAAGCCCTGAACTGGTGATAATTTGTAACAACCACCCCAGGAAATAAATGGAGTGGGGCCACGGCTACTTGCCTCTGATGGAGGTTGGGATGCTGGGCATGGGCCCCCGACACCAGGCTCAGAGTCAGGCCCAGGAAGACCATGGCAGTCGGGAGGATGGTGATGGTGAACCAAGGGCCCTCTGGCCCGGTGAGAATAAACTCAAAAAGTACCCAAAACACCATGATGTTATTATAAGGATTTGCTAAAATGTTTGCTGCTGGTACAGATGACACTTCCAGGGCACAGAAGTGCCCCTGTGATTATTACTGGGTGCCTGTAGGAGCCTCGGGCCCCCTGGGGAAGGGGAAGAGCGTTCTGCCAGGAGGATAGAGAACTAGCTGCAACACAATGGGACGCGGGTCCCTGGGGGAAAAGTCTTCCTGTCTTGGGGCCTATCAACCCCCCTTGTGAAATAGGGTTGGTGGAGGAGCTCTTGAAGTGAGTGCCATTGATGACTTTCTTTTGGGCTTGGCGCTGTGTTTATTATATCCCTCCCCTCAGCAGCTCTGTGAGGCTGGCCTTAGGGAATCCCATTTACCTGAAGTTCAGTGGCAGAACTGGGGCGGGAGCCGAGGTCAGGTTGACACTTTACACCGCCTTCCTTCAGGGTGAGCGGCCAGCGGACAACGGATCATTTCTGTTCTGCACTCCCCGCGGCACTCCGGGCAAGTTCTTGTCCCTCTGGAGGCCTGGGTTTGCCCGCTTGCTAATGGTGCTTAGGACTAGAACAGACTTGGAGGGTAGCGCCAGTACCTACGTACCTCACAGGAGAGGACAGAGCATAGGAAGAGCTTACAACAGTTCTTGACCCATAGGAGCTCAAGAAAAGTTTATTATTAAGATTCTTACTACTGTTACGGGGCAGTCCGTTTCAGCGACGAACGTTTGTGGTTTCTTCCTCACTGTGGCTCCATGCGACCTTGCACAAACGTCCTAGCTCTGGGCCCCAGATTCCTTTATGCACCGGGGCGGGTTCCAGGAGAGACACGAACCTCCCAGATGTGAGCTTTTCAGCGCTGGGGCCGAGTCGGAGTCCTTGGGGGCGGGCCGCCGGCGGCCGCCTCTCTGTGATTGGTGGAGCTTCCCGAGGCCCCGCCTCCCGGGGCCCTCCCCGCCCGTCACGGGCCCGCCTCGGGGATTAAGCAAAAAGTCACCGCCCCGCCCCGCGCCGGGATTGGAGGCCTTTGTTTGCCGCTCAACTCCAGGAAACCACCGGCGCGCGGCGACAGCCAGCAGGTGAGGCGCGGGGAGGGGCTCGCGGTGGGTCGCGGGCGGGTGCCGGCCCCTCGCTGGGTCTCAGTTTCTCGGTCTGGGGAATGGGGAGGAGAGTGGACAGCGCCGGCGGGCTCCGATCCACAGGGACTGCGCTGCTTTCGGCCTCTCCCACGTGGAAACCCCACGCACACGGGAAGGAGACGGATCGCCACTCCCGGAATGGGAGGGCGTCCTGGACCCGCGATCAGTGTCCAGTCCTTACCCCGCCGGCTGCGGGCTTCCGCAGTCTCCACCTTCGGCCTCAGTCTCCACCTCCGCACAATGGGGGCGTTGGCTTTTTCTGTCCCCCTATCTCTCTCTCCAGCTGGGGCTGGTCTCTGGGCGGGGAGGGGTCCCGAGGGAATCCGGGGGTGGTCCTTGGCGGGGCCTCGGGCTGTGTTTGGGTTGGAGGTGTGGCCGGGGTAGCTGTGGTTACCGGGGAGGTGGGACTTCTCTGTCCTGGGATTTGTGCGAGGTTCGTTCACCCGGCAACAACCCGCGTAGCCTGACAACTCGGAGCCGCACAGCCTACCCGGACGCCTACCGCAAGTTTCTTTTCCTCTTTTTGGCAGGGGGACGGAGGTAGAGCAAGGGCCAGCAGTGAGGGTGGGCAGCTCCGACAGTGGTAGGAACTGGAATGGACTGAGAAATCAGGCCAGCCTTTCCTGGTACACAGATGGGGAATCCGAGGCCCAGAGAAGGGGCGCGTCTTGTCCGAAGCGCACTGCAAGGCAGGCGCAGAGCGGGCCTCTCCCCAGTGTGACGCGGCTGGCGCGGGCGGTGGGCGATCTTGGACGAGACTCTTCCCTGTTCCTTTCGCCGGCTTTTGTTGAAAGCCATGACAGGTTGGAGAGGATCATTACCTACGTTTCAAAAGCTTCTACTTCTCAGTGATAAAGTTGGAAAGGAAGGTTGTTGATAACAAACCCGGGCTATTTTGGAGCGGAGAAGAGTTGCTGAGACAGGTTGCAGAGAAAAGAGACATTGTTTCTGTACTCTAGAACAGAAGGAGAAGAAATTGTGGAAACCGAAGCATGAAGGACTGAGGTTAGACACCTACAGGGACTTCCCAAGAGAATTTTCCAGGCGCCACCTCTGGAGTTGGTGGGTTTTAATTCTTGGCTGTGGTTTTGTTTTGTCAAGAAAACAGAATCTCTGCCCCTCTGTTTGAGGGGGCCTAAGTCTGGCTTAGGGGGATGGACCCCATGGTGTTTTGGGTACTTTTTGAGTTTATTCTCCCAGGCGGTCTCAGTTGTTCTGCAGGAGGGAGAAAGTGCCCACGTGGGGCCTTGGGCCTCCCAAAGTCCAGTGGTTTGCACTTGAAACATGTGATGTGAACCCTTCTTGCGAGGGGATTTCATCAGCTCCCACCAGCCCGCACATCCTGCCAGAGAGGCACCAGGGTTGGGGTTAGCAGGGAGGCTGGAGATGCTCCCGGGCACCCCCGCTGTCATGCTGAGAGCGTATTTTGGAAACTGGTGTCTGCCAAGGGCATTTCAATTTACCCCCAGGAGGGGGGAAAGAAAGTCTTTTTAAAGCATCCAGCTGAATCACCAGGCAAATGCCGGGTCCTTTTTATGTTTCCTCAGTCCTGGGAGGTGGGACAGATCTGGGGATCAGGAGTTAGGAGACCTTGGTTTGAATCCCCAGCCCGGCTTGCGTTCTGAACTCCTCAGTTTTCCCCTCTGTAAAATGGGCGTGGTAACACCCACTCCAGTGCAGTTTTAAGGCTGAAGTGAGGTGGAATCATAGAAAGTTTCATTCAGTCCACATTCCAAGTGTGGAGAGGAGGTATCTCAGGCCCAGAGAAAGGCGGTTACAATAACATTGACCCCAGTTATTGGTTATTGCTTGCTGTATTCTAGCCACGGTGCCAAGGCTTCTACTGCAGTGACTGAGGTCTGGGAGGGCAGGAGTTTTTGTCACCAGTCATCTTCCGGGTGCCCAGTATGGAGCCCTGCACATAGCAGGTGTTCAGTGCACTGTCCTTGATCTCCTAGGTCCTAGCACTTAGTGTTCACATTGTTGCCACGAAGTGGGTGCTGTTATTGTCCTCATTTTACAGAGGAGAAACCCGAGGTTCAGAGAGTTTAAGTCACTCACCTGAAGCCACACAGCTTTTCATGGGGGTTGGCTGGTCCTTACTTTGGGGTGCGTCATCTTGTGGGAGCTGATTGTGTGCATCTCTTTCCAGGGCTGTGCTAGTGTATCACATTGGTAGCTTGAAATTGGCCATCAGACGGGTATTTACACTACGGAAATCAGCAGATCAGGCCACAAGTCGGGCATTTTCTTTTTCTTTTTTCTTTTTTTTTTTAAGAGAGCTGCATGTGAAGGGTGCTGTGGGCTGGAAGGCCAGCATTGCTGTGCATGGCAGCAGGAGGTGGAGGGTTTCTGACAGTGCAGGGGGCCCCAGGGCTGCCAGGCCAGAAGGCCCACACCCCATGGCAGCTCCCCTGAAGTGTGGGATTTGGGGAAGGAAACCTTTGTGAGAGGAGGCTTCTAGTCCATCGAGTGAGTCGTGCAGTGCAGCTGCTGTCCGACTTGGGAGCAGGTCAGTGTGAGCCTGAATTCCGGGCCAGTGTCTGGCCTTGAACCTGAAAGTGACAATAGCCATCAGTGTTCTTTAAGCAGGGAAAGGCTTGACCAGAATGATGCTCTGGGAAGATTTACCCAGCAACCTGTGCCCAAGGGAGGGGAGGCTGAGCCAGGGGCAGAGCGGCTGGGAAGAGGCACAGGCTGACCTGGGAGCCCGGAAGAGGCTAACAGCGCCCCTCCTGTGTTTTCTGAGTACCTCCCGTGTGCCACGCATGCGTGCATGTGCGCGGTGTGAGCACATTGTCCCCTTAATTTACAGGCACACCCCTGAGGAAAGTGTTACCCTCTGGAGATGAGGCTGTCAGAGGGGTTTAGAAGAGCTACCAGATCGGGACCCAGACCTTTCTGCCTCAGCCCCTTACTTTTTTAATTCCTGGGTCCTTCCTTCATTCCAATCCCGACTCCTGGCCAAGTGCCGGCCAAGTGCCAGCCAAATGCCAGTTCGGTTGTCAAGAGCGACCCCTGGCTCCCAGGCCTGGTCGGCTCACCAGCCCCTGGACACTTCCCAGCATTCCCTGTTCTGGGGAAGAGGCAGTCTTCTCAGAGTCTTGAGTCCACAGCCAAGGACCAAGGACCAGGAAGGGCCTCAGGGGCCAGGAGGCTGCACTCAGCCCCCCTAGGTCAAGGATTCATTTGGACGATAATGCTTTACTTGTGGGTGCAGATCCAACTCTGCCTGTAATGTGCTGTGTGACTCTGGGCAAGTTGTATAACCTCTCTGGGCCTTTCCTCATCTGTTAAATGTCTGATTATGAGGATCCAAGCAGACAACACATGCCGTACCCCAAAATGTGAAGGGTGGCTAAGGCTAAGATCACTTCCTTTCCCTTTTGTGGTTTTTCTTACGTTCCCACATGTTGCATAATGGCTCTATGTGCAGAAAAGAGCACATAGTATCGAGAGACGATGGACTCTGAGAAACAAACTGAAGGTTCTAGAGGGGAGGGGGTGGGGGGATGGGTTAGCCTGGTGATGGGTATTAAAGAGGGCACGTTCCGCGTGGAGCACTGGGTGTTATACGCAAACAATGAATCACGGAACACTACATCAAAAACTAATGATGTAATGTATGGTGATTAACATAACAATAAAAAATTTTAAAGAAAAAATAAAGAGCACATAGTATCAGAGTTTGGAAAGAGGAAGAGAGAAAGTGTGGGTAGGGAATTACAGAATGGCGCAGAGGGTCAGCGCTCCAAAGGGCCTCAAAGGGCCTAACCACTCTTCCTGACTTGCACAGGCAGGGAAACTGAGGCGGGGCATGCCCAAGGTCTCGTCAGAACGAAACACTACACAGGTGTGCCGTGGGGGCTTTTGTTTATTTTGCTTGTTGTTGTGTTTTTAAGAAGAGTAAATACTTGGGGCTCCTGGGTGACTCAGTTAAGCTGCTGACTCATGATTTCAGCTCAGGTCATGATCTCAGGGTGGTGAGATCGAGCCCCACGTCGGGCTCCGAGCTCAGTTAGGAGTCTGCTTGAGATTCTGCTTGAGATTCCCTCTGCCCTTCCCCCTGTGCACGTGCTCTACCCCCTCCTCTGATAAACAAATAAATAAATAAATAAATAAAATCTTTTTAAAAAATCAGGATCTTAAAAAAAATAGTAAATATTCATTTTACTCTTTTTTGTAGAGCAACTGTTATTTTTAGAAAATACACCATAACAAAAAAGTAAACTCGCCTATAATTGTACTGCTTGCTACTAATTACTGTAAACATTTGGGAGCATCTCTCGCTCTCCCTTCTCCCTTCCTCCCTCAGTTCCTTCTCTTCCTCCCTATTGTTTCGTTTTTCCTTGAAGGGATTCAAACTGGCTAGAGATTATTTTATAACTGGCTTATACACTCAGCATATCACACTTTTTTACGTGATGGCATCTTCTGCCACAGTAAGACTAGTAATAGCTGCATAAAATGCCTTTGAGTGGAACTATCATGATTTATTTCCATGATCCCGTTACTGGACACTGAGATTGCTTTCAATCTTTTCACGTACTGCAAGGTTCAGTCGCAAATGATGAAGACCGTACTGTCTGGATTCAGACAGCTTGGTTCAAAGCCAGCTTCCTCTCCTGTGAAATGGGGATACTAAGTCCTGCCTCCTTGGATTGGCATGGAGATTAAACAATGACATCCGAATCCATGGAAAGGCCTTACGTAATAGGTGCACAATAAAATTTACTTTAATGTTAGCAATGCATTCCTGGTACATACGCATTTTTTTTTTTTGGACTCTTTTCATGGAGCATGAATTTAAGAGTGTGGGTGTCTGTGTGTGCAAGTGTGTGTGCATGTGTGTGTTTTCCTCCATATGGCCACATCCTCCTCGTGACCCATGTTTTGGTTGGCTGAGGAAGGCCTGCCTCCTCCCCTCCTTCCCTATTCAGGCTGCAGACACGAGGTCAATCTGGATTGGTGACCCCTGGAATCGTTTGGGGGCCACAGGAAAGAGGGTCACAGGGAAATGGCAGCATTTCTCTCCACTTGGGAGAGCTAGCCATCCCTTTTTCTGTGCAAGACCCAGAGCGAGGGCTGTGACTGATATTAGGGAGGCTCCAGAGCCGGGAAAATTAAACTCGGTCCTGCAGGGAGCAGGCCATATGGGTGTTTCAGAGATCTGGCCAAAGTCATTTATTCATGAGCTGTGAGCCAGCTGGGCCGTGGGCCAGGACTTTAGGTACGTAGTCTTATTTATCATCCCAATGATTCTGTGAAGTCAGTATTACCCCTCATTTTACGGAAAAAAAAACTGGGTTCAGAGAGGTTAAGTTGCTTGCCCAAGGCCACACAGCTTTCAAAGAGAACCTGGAGGTCTCTGCCCATGAAGCACACGTTCCATAAACCCCTGTACCCTGTAGCCTCCCATCACCCTGGCATTTCTACCTGTGTTGGCAAGTGGAATCCAAGAACCCAGGAGATTTAGCACTAGAAGGTCATTTCTGATAACCTCAGAGATCATCTCATTAAGCCCCAAGGTTCCCAAGCTAAGAGTGGGGAAGGCAGATGTTCATTATCACTCAGGGTATAACTTGGGTCTCCAGTTCCCCAGTTCTTCTTAGCCGGTTCTGCAATCCTCATCTGCACCCCCCCCCCGCCCCCAGATTCCCTGTGGATTTTAACTACAGGGTAAAATCAGCAACATGGGTCAGAAGGAGTGGGTGACCTTAGGGAGGGTTTTCATTTCTTTTCCCAAGGAAGGGAGCTGCTATGCTTTCCCCTGATGGCTGGGTAGCCTCATGGCCCCCCTGGACCCCTGGGCCCCAGGACGTTGTGTTCAGGGCACATCATGCCAAAAAGCAGTGCCCATCCTCGGTTCCAGGCCATGTGCTGGGCTGCACCAGAAGGCTTGAAGAAAGGCAGACCTACCTTCCATTCTGGTTACCAGGCCAGGCACTTAGGTGGGGCTCAAGAGGGAATGTGGAGGGAGGCCGGAGGGGATGGCTGAGTGGCAGGCAGGGGGAGAGAGGGTGAGGATGCTGTCACCATGCTGGAGCATCAGGACCCAGGGG